CCTCCGAGACACCTCCGAGACACCTCCGAGACACTTCCGAGACACCTCCACAGGTGTCGCGGCTGCCTGGTGTCGCCGGCGTGGTGGAGAAGGGCGTCGAGACGGGGACGCAAGGCCCTCGCCTCGCAGTTCTTCGTCGCTGACTCCTCCGCTCCTTCCTTTAGGCGTCGAGAAGGGAATGCGAGACGCGTACCTCGCGCTGCCTTAATTAATAATTAATTAATTAATCTAGGCGTCGAGAAGGGAATGCGAGACGCGTACCTCGCGCTGCCTTAATAAATAATTAATTAATTAATCTAGGCGTCGAGAAGGGAATGCGAGACGCGTACCTCGCGCTGCCTTAATTAATAATTAATTAATTAATCTAGGCGTCGAGAAGGGAATGCGAGATGCGTACCTCGCGCTGCCTTAATTACTAATTAATTAATTAATCTAGGCGTCGAGAAGGGAATGCGAGATGCGTACCTCGCGCTGCCTTAATTAATAATTAATTAATTAATCTAGGCGTCGAGAAGGGAATGCGAGACGCGTACCTCGCGCTGCCGGCGCGAGCCACCGAGTACGCGCGCACGAACCCGCACTCGGCAGCGCCTACTAGAAGCGGAATATCTCCCCATATCTCCCCCCGTATCCCCCCCCGTATCTCCCCATATCTCGGGCTGCTAGAAGCGGAATGTCTCCCCATATCTCCCCCCGTATCTCCCCATCTCTCCGGGAGAGCAGCGGGCCCTAGAAGCGGAATATCTCCCCGTATCTCCCCATATCTCCCCATATCTCGTGAGCAGGAGCAGCGGGCCCTGGAAGCGGAATGCGCATCCCTGTGCTCCGACCAGCGCTCGAGAGGACTCACGCCATTCCGCTGGATCCCGCCCGCATGTAGATAGTCAGCTGTGCTCGCCGTATTCGTACCCCGCCCAGTCCTGCGGCGCTCGGAATACACCGCGCAAGTACCGTCCTCCCGCCACGACCTCGGCGTGCTCATGGCGTGCTCATAGCGCCCTCCCGCCACGACCTCGGCGTCTTCGTCACGTAGGCCGTGCTCCCGCCGCTGCCCACCCCGGCCGGGCGGGCGGTCGGCGGTTCTGCTGCAAAGCTGGCGCTCGCAACGCCCGCCGCCGATGACGCCGACATCGCCGCCGACGCCGACGCCGCTGACGCCGCCGCCGCCGCCGCCGCCGCCGCCGCCGCCGCCGCCGGTGCGCCCCCCGGTGCGCCGAACGGCGGCGCTTGCGGCGGCGGCGGAGGCGAGGCGTGCGGGGAGGGAGGAGGCGGCGGCGGCGAGATTCGGGCGGCCCCGCCTCGCGACGTCTTGGAGGTCGCTTCCTAGACACTTCCTAGACACTTCCTAGACACTTCCTAGACACTTCCTAGACACTTCCTAGACACTTCCTAGACACTTTCTAGACACTTCCTAGACACTCCCTAGACACTTCCTAGACCTCGCGACGTCTTGGAGGCCGCTGCGCGCAGAAGCGGAAGACGCAGTCTTGCACTCCAACCAGCGCGCGAGGGGGCCACGTGTTGGGCTGCATTTGGCGCGTAGTCCGCCGTGGCTCGCTGTATTCGTACCCCGTGTGCTCCCGCGGTGGTATGGAGACGCCGCACCACACCGCATTCCCCCGCCCCCGAGGGTGGTGTGTTGAGCGCGTCGGATCGCCCTCGCCGCACCGTCGCTACCGCACCACCCGCGGGACTGAACCCACACTGGATTCGATACCCTGGGGGTATGGGACACACGTAGGCCGCTGCAGCTGCGGTGGCGGTGTCGAAGGCGGCGGCGCCCGACAGCGAGGGCGACGCGCCCCCGGCATATGCTAAGGTGGCGGCGCTGCGCGCGCGGACCGAGGTGCTGCGGCAGGCGGTGAGGGCGGCAGAGGCGGCCGCGGATGCGCAGGACGCGCAGGCCGAGAGGCTTTTGGCTTCCGCGGGTGTCTTTTTCACGCCGCTCTTTCTTTGTTTTAGGAGGACGCGCAGGGCAGAGGCCTTTGGCTTCCGCGGGTGTCTTTTTCACGCCGCTCTTTCTTTTTCTCCAGGAGGACGCGCAGGTCGAGGCTGCAGAGAAGGCGAGGTCGTTGCTCGAGGATCGGCTGCGGCAGGAGCAGGCTCGCGCGGAGCTGCAGCCGAGATGCAGCCGAGATGCAGCCGAGGTGCAGCCGAGATGCAGCCGAGGTGCAGCCGAGAGGCAGCCGAGGTGCAGCCGAGAGGCAGCCGAGGGGCAGCCGAGGTGCAGCCGAGATGCAGCCGAGATGCAGCCGAGATGCAGCCGAGATGCAGCCGAGGTGCAGCCGAGATGCAGCCGAGATGCAGCCGAGAGGCAGCCGAGGTGCAGCGAGAGCCAGCCGAGCGCGCGGAGCCTCCAGGGAGCCTATGGCCGAGTCTTGGTTCCCGGCGCGACAACGCGCCTTCCTTGTCTCTAGGCTCGTGCGGAGCTGCTCCGCCAGCGGGTGGACGCGCTGTCGCAGGTGCTCGCCGCCGCGCGGAGGCAAAACACGAAGTCTGGCGGACCGGAAGAGAGAGCTGTGAATAGGAGCTCGCTGCCGAGCGGCGGTGCGTCACGACGCTCCCCCCACGCCCAATCTCGGGTCATCTCGGACAATCTCGGGCCATCTCGAGATCGCCAATCAGACTCGCCACGTCGCTCCCCATAGGTCTGTCTCCCCAGATCTCCCCAGATCTCCCCAGATCTCCCCAGATCTCCCCAGATCTCCCCAGATCTCCCCAGATCTCCCGATACCATTAGGCTCGTCACGTCGCTGCTCACGCAGCTCCGCCTCTCCTCCTCCCCCGCCGCCGCAGCCGCCGCCACTGCCGCCGCCGCTACCACCAACGGCGCCGCCCACGCCGCCGCCACCCCCGCTAACGGCGCCGCCACCGCCGCCACCGCTGCGCCCGCCGCCGCCGCCTCCGCCGCCTCCTCCGCCGCCGCCTCCTCCGCCGCCGAGCCCGACGCCGCCACCGCCACCGCCGCCGCCGCTGCCGTGGCCGTGGCCGCTGCGGCCGAGGAGACGCGGCATGCAATCGCGGCGGCGCGAGCCGCGTCTGAGGCGAGCGCGTGTGCCAGCGCACATCTGCCCACATCTCCCAATTGTCTCTCCCCACGTAACCACACATCTCCCCACATGACCACACATCTCCCCACATCTCCCCACATCTCCCCCACATCCCCCCCACATCCCCCGACACTTTCTACATCTCCCCACATCTCCCCACATCTCCCCACACCTCCCCACATCTCCCCACACCTCCCCACACCTCCCCATCTCTCCCCACCTCTCCCCACCTCTCCCCACCTCTCCGCACCTCTCCGCACATCTCCCCCATGTCTCTCCCCATGTCCCATGTCTCTCCCCACCTCTCCCCCAGGCGAGCGCGTGTGCCGCCGCGGCGTGCAAGGCGCTCGAGTCGTCGGCTGCTGTGTGCGGGCCTGCCGCCGCTGCCGCCGCCCCGCGCGCTGTGCCGAGGGGTGCGTGTGCCCGGTAGATAGGAGCCTTCCCTCCCTCCGCCCGGGGGGGCTCTAGCACACTTCGAGCCACAGGGGAGCCCTCGTGGCGAGATCGTGGCGAGATCGTGGCGAGATCGTGGCGAGATCGTGGCGAGATCGTGGCGAGGTCGTGGCGAGGTCGTGGCGAGATCGTGGCGAGATCGTGGCGAGATCGTGGCGAGATCGTGGCGAGAGCGTGGCGAGGTCGTGGCGAGAGCGTGGCGAGTGCACTTAGCCTCCCCCTCGGACGCCTCTCCGTCAGTAGACATAGAGCTGTACAGCACGCTCCCCCGGACTCTCGCGTCGTTGTCTTTCACCAGGGCCGCCGCTGACGCCGTCGGAGCAGTTTGCGGCGGAGGGAGGCGCGCAGCTGCTCACCGCGATGGCGGCGTCACACTTGCCGGAGGTGCTCCGCACCATCGACGGCGGCGCCTTTGCGGCGGAGGCGCCGCGCCGCCGCCGCGAGCCTTTTGTTTCTCGGCGGCGGCGCGGCCAGCAGCCGCCGCTTCGTCTCGTGTGTAGGCGCCGGTGCGGTCTGTGCAGCTGGGCGTGCAGGAGCTCGTCTGCACGCACCAGCGCCTTGTGCACCTCAAGTGGTCGCCGAGCGGCGACGAGATCCTCAAGACGTGGAACGTGCCGTGGAGGCAACCCCCCTCCCCGG